CATACAATAGTTTACACGAACAATTTCAAAAAATATAGCAAACTGTAACACACCATAGTTGAGTTATAACGAGTCGGAAATACAGCGAGGTGATGAAATTAAAAGGCTATTCTTAATTAGTATGTACTGACTGCAACATTCACTGAGTTTTAGCAATTTGCAGTAGCTATTCAGTGAACGGTATCCGAATGGAAAGCGCTCGTTGATCTTGCAACGAATGGTGTCAAACTGAATTTTCAACGGGAAAACTGTCGATTTCAAATTTATTCAAAATTTATGACTGGATAATATTTCTTACAAACATCACACTGGACCAAGTTTTATGAATTATTCATTGAATTTAAGGACTAGCTGAACGGGTAAACTTTATCTCCGAGCAACGACAATAATATAAGCAGAACGCCACTCTTTAATGAGACGATAACGCGTGAAGCTTTTGAATTGTTAATAATTTGATGGTTTTTTCATAAATAAAACTCATAACTAGTATTATCGCATCCTGCTGTACACATTATGACTATATATTATCAAAGGTGTCTAGAAGCGATTTGTAAAGGGCATGATTTAGTTTAGGGTGGGTTGATGTGGATCAACTCGAAGGCATACAATCAGTTTGGCATTGTCAACTGCTCACTGATGGTCAGTTCAAAATTTCGTTCTAGAGCAGAGGCCCGATAGGGAGATATTTCCCATTTTTGGAGAATTCAGGGGTGTAAGGGGGTAATGAAGGGGACTGGGAAGCTAGTTCTGACGTTATGCGTGGAAATGGTAAATTATTGTAGCGGAAGTGGGGGTAATGATGGCCTGCCAGAGCATCGAAGGAGGTAATGCAACACCCGAGCGTGGGGACCCCTGTTCTAGAGGAACGAATACTTGTATTTGGTGATGCATTCACGAGGTGATGTTTAAATTTGGAGAAACAAGATGGAATCGATTTCGTTTGCTTCTCAACGCTTGTTTTTTTAATGGAAGGAATAATTCCATTGTCTTTTCATTCGATTCGTCGTATTATTCCAAGAAAAGTAAATCAAATCTCCGAACGTTCCATAGGTAGTTTCTTCTTTTTTCATTATATTCCCCCGACGATCATCTCCTTACATCGTCAAAAACTTACTACGTTCCATTCTGATCATCATAACAATAAGCCACAACGCCAAGAGAAGATCAATTTAATCGTTTGTTGGGGAAAATTTCGCGATTCGTCCACTGTAACCGTAAACTAATTCTTCTGATGAATCGAGAAGCTTCAGCACGTCTGTCGTCCTAAATATCAGCATCTTTCCTTTGAAAGCTGTTGTTAGACCATCATGAGATATTCAACGTTTGCTGAATATCTCAACTATCGGAGAGCGTTTGCTGAAAAAAATACATTTTAATGCTATCTAAAAGGTCATCTTACTGGCAGTTTGTTGCCTTTTAATAAATCAGGAAATAATTTAGGGTGAAAATAAATTTTCTCAACAAAATGCAATTGTCTGAAGAAGATCTATCATTGAGTTATGTAGATATAATTGTCGGGGTCTTCTATATTGTATATGCCGCGTTGGGCATTGGCTTGCATCTAATTGAGATAATCGCGTGCTCAAAACTTTCACATCGATTCAATGGGTTCCGTTTCATCGCACACTACTCGACGGCGGATATTCTTCTTCTTTTTCAATACGGTATTTGGGATGGAATCGTGATACTGACAAAAAGTGAGATTATTACACGACAACAACGACAAATTGTTAATGTTTTCATCAATTTTACATGGTTCATTTTTCAGCTTATCAGATTCATTCTCTACATTTTTTAATGATTTTAGGGTGTCGATTTCATAGTAATTTTGGATGAGATCGGATCAGATATCTTTTCTGAGAAAACCTCTCAGGTTTGGAAGGAAGTTTGAAACTCGATGGAATGGGATAGTTGAGAAAGTGAAATAGAATGGAAAAGTTTTTGCGCGGATGTCAGGAGAACAAGATAGCAGAATGAGTTCATGATTTATTATTTAAACACCGTGTTTTGCATTTCAGGTGGTCCAGTAGCTATCTGTCCATAGTGGTAACGCTTACACGATTGTTAAGCATCGTTATACCGTTGAAATTTCTGCGCATGCGTATGCTCACATCACACTATATTTGCATTGGCACATGGGCAATAGCTCTTGTGCAATCCTATACAGTCACTCTCTTCCCATGGTACCACTCAGATGATGTTCAATTTCATTCGATTGCTTTATTTTTTCGATCACTACGCACGAATTTGTCACGAAAACAGTGCAAATGCGGCTGTTCAAGAATTATTATAAGAATCGATGAGAAAATAATCCTCATCCATGGTTTTAATTTTCTCACCTTTTTAATTTTCTCACCATTTTCTCACCTGATTTTCTCACCTTTCGGAAAAATTCTTCCTAAACTGAATGTCAAAAAGAAAGTTACTTTCTATCGAAAGATTTTCATTTAACTAATTTAGGTACGCTGACATACATTATAACGCAAAAGGTTACGGTATGACATGCAATTGGTCTGCATATGCACTGAGTGGAACACAAATGTATTATTTCGCATTCAATGGGTTCACCATATTGACAAATCTTCTGTTATATGTCGCGGTTATGATTGCGCTGCTCAACAAAACCCAAAGGCGTCATTTGAATGGTGAATCGAGATCGATGGTAAACTGATTCAGATTAAAATTAGTTCTCACCGAAATACAAAATGGTTGTTATTCAGCGCTGATGAACTATTTTCGAGCTTTTGATTTACATTTTCAACAAACAACAAGAGATCAAAAAGAAAGCTTCAATAGAGCTGATTATGAACTGTTGATCAAATATGTAATTCTGAAGAAATATGCAAATATTTGATAGTGAAAAGTAGAATCGGATGGCCAGCCATTTGCATGCATGCAAATCTCATTGTCAATTATAAATACAAATTTGTTGTCGGCATGACTCTTCCGTCGAAGATGAACTGCAAGGTGATCGCTGATAGGCACAGGACACCAATCTTAGTCATCAGTGTCATCTACTGCGATAAGATCACTCCTTAATGAATGTTTCCGATTTCATAGCACCTCAAAGTGACTGACTCAATTAACGACAGAATCAACGTTCGCTCATCGAGACTAATATGATTGCATTCCATATATGCAAGCAATATCGATATGTTATCATAGAGAAGCTTCAATAGAGCTGACTATCGGAGTGTTGAATAATGCATCAATCACGAGCAAATACTTCATTCTTAGGCACTCACTGAAACACATAATTCCAGGGCTGTGCATCGTCGAACGCCAGAAAACGGAAAATTTTTGCTGTGAAATCTCTATCAAATATGGCCGCATCGTTTTACAGTGATAAAGTGATCAAATGTAGTCGTTCTGTGGAATTGAGCTTGCTGCTATCATGTTTTGTCAACTGGCTTATTGCTGTTATCGGTAAATTAATTCTGGTTGTCTTTTCTGTTAGGTTACAAGACTTCAAGAATACGCCGTGACGAAGCATTGAATTTGCAACGATTTTTAGGTGAACGCATATTTTCAATGGAACTCTGCGATGATTTTGTTAAAAACTTATCCAATAACTAATCGAAAATCTGCAATTCTGCAGCGATCGAAGTTCTGAAATCCTGAAGCCGAAATGTAGTAGGCTGAGTGAAATCGTTGAAAAAAAATTTCTTTGTCACGAAAAATTGTCTGTGAAGTATTCATTTCTGACATAATTTTCAGGACAAATAGCAATTAATCTGATCTCATTTGACAACCGCTGGCGTGAGTTCATAGTGATGCTGACGTTCATGACGCAGTGCTGGATGAACACCATTATGAGATTGTTTTTGAGCGCAGTTCTATTGCGTAAAGTAAAACAGATTCTTATGGGGTATTTTCCGAAAACACAAAAACCGTGTGTTGTGCAAACGGATGGTTTTGTACGCATCTGGACGAGTGGAATACGTTGAAGTGGTTTTTTGTAAACTTATGTTCAAGAGCGCTTCATTAGAATCTTTAGTTAACAGCAGTGGCAACGGTGGTCATGCGAGAAGACAATCATGCGAAGAGATGGAAACTAGTCGACAGACTGTTTTGTATCATCTATTCGTTGAGGTGTGATGACGTTCTCAGGACTAGATCATATCAGCTGAAGGATCAGCAGGGTCTTTTTCAAACCCTTGAGAGAATGTATCGCCATATTATTGCATAATTCTGGATTTTTATTTGTTTGTACGCGATGATTGATTATAAGTTATTTTTTGCTCCGTATATATTTTAAGATTTGTTTCATTCGATATATTCAATAATGACACCATATCATATCGAAAGACTAATAATATGTTTTCGTAATGTTATATCAGAGAGGTATTCATGAGTGTTGTGACTAATTGCATCGAAGGTGAAACGCATGCATGTATAATTACCGTGGTGATTATGCATACAAACTTTTTGTCTCAGATATGACGGCAATAGAATAATTAAAGCGGAGCTTTTGAAAGGAGTTCATCAAATATTCGCAACATCCTTAGAATAATCCACCTGTCAAATGCAGTAACACTTAGTTTCTCCGTTCAGCAAGTGTTTCTTGTTGATGAATTCTGAAGAGTGTGTTGTCTGACAAGAAACTGAAGAGTGAAAATTCATTTCGTCTATAAGTGCCCAACTAATTCACCTGTTTCGATTAATTTCCCTGTTCATCTGTAAATGCTACGACAATTCAAGGTGTTCACTTGATGAAAACAGCAACATTTCTGATTGAGTTCTATTGGAACGTAGCCGGGGGTTTGAGTCTTCGATTCGTACACATAACATTTGTCCAATTTTAGCGTGTTTTCATCGACATTACAACCAATCTACCGGGCACATCGTGATCTCATCTCTCATTTCTTTCATCAGAAATTCGAAGATAAGAGTCATTTGAGTGCAATCGCTTGTGATCAACCCCACTTCGTCAACGCAAAAAGCTCAGAAATAAGACTGAGTAATATCGTAGCAGATTCGTCACCGAAACGTTCAAAACTGAACAAGGTGATGCCGAAAATTGCATTTTGTGTGACAAATCACAGAGGCGGTGACAGTGAATTATTAAATAACAAACGGCCTCTTGAAGGAATTCAAGAAAAGAAACTCGTTCGTTCGCTGATTCGTTGATATCGCTTACTTCGATGAAGTCCCATATGAAGGTTTAGCAATCGTACGGAAAACGTTCATTTTAGTCAGTTGTTTGTCACTCTTTTCATTCGCCATAAATGTTCCCAGTGCTTTCAGCTGGAATTGTTAAAACGCACTTCAGAAGATCAGTTTCTTAGTGATTTGCTCTCACAGTTTCTCGAGAATGCATTGAATAGTCAACGGAAAACTCGTATTTCACATGAAGACAATGATCGTGCGATAAATTTGAGCGTTCCGTGAGGTACACGGAACATAGTACTTCCCACATGATTGTCTTATTGCTCAAATATTTAATTTAATGACTTGAAACTTAACGTTGTAAACAAGAAATTAATTGCATTTACTCTCATTGGAACGACTATAACATTCGTTCTCGATGCATAAATTACAATCGTAATCGCCAGTCTAATCAAAATAATTACATTACCGGATTGTCCACTCGATTTTCTTGATTACTTTCGTAGCAGTCAAGCAAAGAACGGCATTCAATGTATTTATAGGTTCTTTTACAGAACGTTTCTTTTTGCACAACAAGGCATAACGTTTCTCTCAAGATCAAGTCAAACTGATCACATTTTATTCATATTTGCTCATTATTCTAGTCTGATCTTGATCTTGATCTAATCACCCTCATTTGCTGTTTCGAGTTCGTGTCACGTCAAGCAACCAGACAATTCATTGCTATCATTTTGGTTGTCACCAAATACCGAACGTGATAATTTCATAAATCACTCCAACACAGAGTGATCACTTATGAGTGCCAATGTTGTTGCAGTTTTCATGATGCTCATGCTCAGAAGTCAAATGACCAAGCTTCTGATCCGAAACAACCTCCTAACGTATCATACTGTGATGCTGAAAATGGCAGCTTGGGTTTTTCTCGATAACTCGTTTGATTTTGAAAATAGTGACGTTCATTACTCGATAAATTAATGCTGAAGTTGTCGTTTTTTATTAATTTATCGTTGAATCTATAAGTGAATTGTTGTGTTCGCCGCCTCTGACTTAATTGACAATTATTTATATAGCAATGATCATTACTCTTATCGTTTGAAAGGTGAGCTAAGAAAGAATATGAGATTCGTGATTGGTTTGAACAGAGCAATTTAGTTATTTGTTAGCTTGTTTTGACTATGAGAGACGAGCATCGTTATCGCTCTGCATCATTTCTGTCGATCTGCTTCATCGTCCTCAGAGTGCATGCGATAGTTTGAAGGATGAACCATGAATGAAGTGAACCATGGATTTTGCTTGCTTAATTCACGTTTCTTTTGTGCAGGATCATTGAAAATGCGGGCAAGCAT